CAGAATTTTCTTCCTTTTTAAGGTTGCATAATAGTCCATTGTGTATATATACCATGTTTTCTTTATGCATCTCTTGATGGACATTTAGGTTGCTCCTACCTTTTGGCTATTAGGAATAACGCTGCTGTGAACATGAGTGTACAAATATCTCTGAGATCCTGCTTTAATTCTTTTGGGTACATACCCAGAAGTGGTATTGTTAAGTAATAGGGTAGTTCTTTGTCTAGTTTTTTGAGGAACGGCCATACTTTTTTCCAACATACCAGTTGCACCATTTTACATTCCTACCAAGAGTGCACAAGCTTATCAATGTTTTCACATCCTCTCCAATACTTGTTACTTTCTGCTTTTGTTTGTTTGTTTGATAGCAGCCATCCTAATGGGTGTGAGGTGACATATCATCATGGTGGAGAGTGTTTCTTAACCTATGGGAATCCACCCTCACTTTGAAAGAAGATAAAAATCTCAAGCCCCTGTAAAATGTTAAAAATCAACTAATACTTCATTTGTATTTTAACAGCAAGGAGAAAATAAAAGATATGTCAGTGTGGTGGGATTGAGTGGTTTAAATTTTATTCTTTATACTTTCACGCAGTTTCTAAATTTTACTCTAAAATATGTATCACTTTAATCATCAGAAGAAAATGATAAAAAGTAATGAACTCTCAATTAAGACATTAATTGGGGGCTGTAAGTTTTAATTTTACTTTTTTCCCCTTTTGTCAACTCTCCCTATAAAAAGAAATCCTTCATTGGATGCTAAATTGGAATAGAGAGATGGCCCACAGATCCAACTTCCATTTTCTCCTTGATTTTTACAGTAGACAGAACATCGGTTGAAGCCAGAACCAGAGAGCTTAAACTGGATTTGTATCTCTCCTTTCCCACCATTTACGTTCGAGCAATCCATTTTAGCTTTTAAGCCTTTGTTTAGTTTGCATACAGGAGGAGGATGAATAATACCCTCAACCTTTGTAATTTACCAGGATACCACAAAGACAAATGAAATGATGGAACATTCAGCAGGAAAACATCCTGTGTGCCATTGTTTTTAAGAACAATAATTTATTCTAGTACCATACCCAGAGGCTTAGCAGTGACGTCACGATGCCAGGTCTCTACATCCCAGCCCTCTCTACTTCTCAGGTTTCCCTGGAACAGGTCAGCCTTGACCTTTCAAGGCCGAGTTACATGCATTTTCCCCTTTCTTTACCAATGCCTAGGGTACAGCTCAGGCGTCCAGTGTTATATTATGTTCTCATAGTGCCCACCGGGCAGGAGCCATGTCTACCTCTGGTTGACCATAAAAAGCTGTTGATACCCAGCTGATGCTGAGGGAGTCCTGCTGAGCCCTTTCTCTGCTCCTGTGTGTTGTGACTTGATATGAAATCATTTGATTACATGAGTTCAGGGCTCTCTCTAGAGCCCTCTGAACTTTCTTGGGAATTGTTAAGACCTCTTCTTCAGTGCGGAGAAGTTAGGATAGGCTGCCAACCAGACAGAGCTGTGAAGCTGGTGAAAATTGTCACCGTGATTGTGCTGGAAGGAGACAGAGACTGGGTCGTAAGATCTGGTCCCTACTCCATCGAGATCTGCAGCCACTAACATGCTGGCTGATTCTAGTTGCTCCAGCCTAGCCGAGGAGGAGGCTGGGCTCTGGGATCTTTAAGGTCTCTTTGGGGTGAGTGTTAGTGACCCAGGTTCCAGTGTGGCCTCTGTGGGGCCCTAAGGAAATCATGTCAAGTCTCTGAGACTCCGTGTTCTTATCTGTAAATGAAGATAATATTTATATCATAAGATTGTTATAAGGATTACATGAGATAAAGTATATACAATATCCAGGGCTGTGTCTAGTGCCAAGCAAACTCTAAAGTACCCTTGCCTGCTCCCTCCCCTTTACTCACACAAGGGCACATTCATCTCCATAAACAGCGTTAGCGAACCGAGGCTTGGAGTCCCTTATATTCTACATGGGGATTCTTAAACAGAGTGTCAAATAAAACAAATCCACTTAGTAAGGAATGACTTTATTTGAAAAGATAATTGCAAAGGGGGAAAGGGACTAGTGCAGTTGGGAGAAGGCAAGTGTCTAAAGAGTTAGGTGAAAGCTGTGTTCTTTCATAGAGAGGGGTAAACAGGCTAGAAGGGGCTGGATGTGGGGAAGGGAAGTGAAAGGGTAGCAGGACTGGACAGCAGAGCAGAGAGTGTTTTACCCTGACCCCGGCCCGGTCTCAGGAGGGGCTGTCCGCTGGCTCAGGCTGAGAGGGGGCCAAGTTCAGAAGCCTGAAAGAAGGAGAGACACAACCAAAATTTGGTTAACATGCATTTTGTCCAGTCGATCAGTGGCGAATGAAATAGTTCAGCTAATCATTTATGAGGCAAAGCATGGGAATTTGGAGGGTCAGTGTCTAGGTCACAGGTCATAGATCAGCGCAGGTGCATCCTTGACTCTTACTTAAGTCCTTTGGGTTTTTAAATTTTTTAAAAAAATTTTATTTATTTACTTATTTTAGTAAGTTGTTTTCTGGGACATGAAAGGGTGGGGACATTCTCCATTGTCATGGTTTCCCAGCAGCATGGGGCTCAGGGAAAATGCAACATTGTCCAAAGTAAAACCGGCGGGATCCAAAGTCACTCAGCTGGTGACATCCTCACAGGATGTTGATGGGTGAGCCTAGCCTTTCCCGGGGTCCTCAATGCATCCTCTGCCGAGTACCCACCACCCACCGGTAGAGATCTGGAGGGGGTTCCTCTGCCCTTGAGGGATGCGTGAGGTCGCAGATGGGGAGAGGACAGGCGAGGTGAGGAGACTGCCCACTGCTGGCCTATCTCTGACGCGTCCTCTGACCAAGCTGGCCACGCACAGCCCATTGGAAAGAACACCAGGGGGAAAAGGGGCCGAGTTCCAGGCTCGTTGCTGCCCCCGCCCCCCAGCAGCAGAGCAGAGCGATAGTCTGACGCTCAGCGGCAGTGTCCACAGCCAGACCTCAGTGGAGTGGAGCCGCCTTCTTGGAGGAGAGGGGGTATGTCCTTTGGAAGGGCCTGGGTTAGCCTGTGTGGCAGGGGGACTCTGGGGACTTAGGAGAGCAGCTCTTTACCATTAAGAGCTATTACATTTATGTATTTTCCCAGTAGGGACAACCCAGTGGAATATGCCACTTAGGGTGGGTCCAGAACACCTTGCCTCCTCCCACACCCACTTTTTTTTATTTTTAAAGATTTTATCTATTTACTTTTAGAGAAAGGGGAAGGGAGGGAGACAGAGAGGGAGACAGACATCAATGTGCGGTTGTCTCTCAAACGCCCCCAAATGGGGACCTGACCGGAAACCCAGGCATGCGCCCTGCTTGGGACTCTGGCCAGCGACCCTTTGGTTCGCAGACCGGCCCTCAGCCCCTGGCCACACCAGCCGGCGCTATCGTTGCTAATGACATCAAGCTGAGGTGCAAGAATAGGCGATGTCTGCCGAGGGAGCTCCCTTTCTAAAAGGCCACTTTCCCAGAATGAGGTTTTTTTGTTTGTTTGTTTTTAACCTATGCATTCATCATGTGAGCAGGGAAAGAATAAAAATAATTAAATTTATTTAAAACCAATAAAGCCACCCAGACCCTGCTTGTTCCTGTCGCCTGCCCTGAGAAGACGGGTTGCGGGAGGCCTCTCCCCACGGGCCTTGCATGGTGCGCGGAGTGCAGCGCCCGTTCTCCTAAACGGCGTTGGATCCTTCGTGAGATGTTAGCCCAGGCCTAGGATTTCAGCTCCTGCCCGCCTCACAAGATGCACCGTCAATGACAGTGGGCTGTGCAGGGCTCACAACCGTGCTCTCCCAGTTAATCCTCTGACTTGTCCCTACTTTAAACACCAGGATGCTGGGCACTGAATGAGGAGGAGGGGAGACTGGCTCCCAGGCCAGCAGAGAAATCCCTGACTGGTGTTCCAACCTTAGATTTGCAACTGTGTGCTGCACCATTGTCTCGCTGCGGGATTCGATGCCTGAAGACCTTTGGATGGGGAGCACTGTGGCCAGGACACTAGGTTTAGGAAGAGGAGTCCCGGGCACAAGACCCAGCTCACCGCCCTGTGACTCTGGGCACGACCTGTCTGTGTAACAGAGCGGCTTCTGGCCGGGCTTTAGGTGTCACCTCCTCTCCATTGCAGTCAGAGGAGGGACCGGGCCGGCACGGCAGGCCTAAGAATAGGGTCCCTGACTGCTCTGGCTTTCTGTCAGGACAGCTCGCAGGACCGACTGGCGCCTGCCCTGCTGCGTTCCCGCAGAGAAGCAGCCACACTGTCTCCGCTGGCACCTGCGCCGCCCTCTCTGGCTTCAGCCCTGCAAGGGAAGGGTAGGCAGTTCGGGTCCCCACGAGGGGCAGATGCCCGGGGAGAGGGGCGCGGAGGAGGCTCTCCGGGGAGGGGGTGACCAAGCCTGGCTCCGAGGCAGTGGCGGGCAGGGCCCCGGAAGAGTAGTGATGCTGGCTCCAAGGAGAGCAACTGAGAAGAAAACACGTGTAGGCTCCTCCTCCCCGCTTGCTAAACTCTCCATCCTCCCGGGGGACGGAGGCGGCGCAGCGGTGTCGGGAGGAGCCGGAAGGATGTGCGGGGCTTGGGCACAAGTGAATAAAGGGTACAAAGTAGAGAAAAAGTATCCCTCACCTAATGCCACACCCCTTCCTCTCTCCACGCCCCTCTTCGCCCCCAATAAAGTCTCCGGACAACCTGTGCACAAGGATCCCTCCAAGTGTCCTCATCCGCCCCGGGCTGTCAGACGGCCGTGGACACGGCCTGAGCTATCCTTCGTCCGCCCGGGGTGGACGCACAGCCCTCCCGGCCGCCTCGTTCTCCCCCTCCTTTGCCAAGGAGGGGCTGCACCCCGCGGGGGCAGAGGCGGAGCGGAGGTTCGGGGGCGCTCTGGTGAGAGCAGGGAGTAAACCTTTAGCAGGCAAGGAGTGTGGGTCCCACGGGGAGACGTGGCCGCTCACCTGGGCCCTGCCCGGCCCGCTGAGATGGGCTCCGTGTCCTCCGCGCTGGCGCGGTCCCGCAGCGCCGTGGAGCAGTTGGGCTCGTCGCCACCGCAGCCGGAGGCGCCACCGGCGGCTGCCGCTGCTCGCAGGTTCCCGTTTGCGCTCCCCAAGACTCGGAGGCTTGGACCCGGACGCGGAGAGACGCCCGCCCCTCCCGCAGCCAGGAAGGCTCAGCCCGCAGCGGGGACCCGGGAAAGGCGCGCGAGGTTGGCCAGCCCGGAGCTGTCCCCGGTGCTGAAGCGTGCGGAGGGCACGTCCCAGCCCGACGGGCCCGGAGGCCGCCGCGCCTTGGGTAAGTCCCCTAATCATGCGTAGGGATCGCGGGGAGCTGCTGCTTGGCGAGACCTGGGGTCGGGAGCTGGGGGGTGGCGCTTCTTACCTAAGGGGACAGAAATGAAAGGTCTGTCTCCCAACGGGATTTTGCCTTTCTTGTTCTCTTGCCCATAACTCCTTTTACAAGTTAAAACTCATTTCTGGTTCGATAACGGGTTATTTCAGAAGGACCACCTTTCACAAGGGGTCTCAAGAGCAGCCGGCAAGGCACCCTAAGGATCCCTATCCCCAGCTTTGTTCTGGAGCCAGCCCCTCGGGGAGACGTCGTCTTGTTGTCTGGGAAAGGACAAGGGTGGAGGAGGCGCGCTTTCCCGTCTCCTCCCCGGGGAACGGGAACGCGGCTGGAGAATCCTGCCTGTCCAGGATTTAGTGCCACGTGTGAAGAAGGAAACTGGTACTTGAACTTTTCTGAGGGGACTTGCGGGTGTGTGGCTGGGGAAGACATTTTCAGGATTGGTAAGAAGGGAGGCTGAAGGCCCCAGCTTTGGAGTGGGAGGCAGGACAGGTCTCCAGCTGTGGCTTTCACTGTGATCTTGGGCAGGACACTCTCCTGGTGCCTCAAGTTTACCTTCTTTGACACAGGGATGATAATAGACTCTCGCTAGGTAGCTGGAAAACCTCACCACACACAGGGTGTGTAGAAGTACTTTGAAACTGTAAAGTGCTACGCAAATACTCAAGATGATGCCCAGACCAGGTCTCTGTACATCTTCAGCCTCAAACTGAGATGAATAGTAGAACTTTTCGATGTTTAGTTTAATGTATTCAAAGGCTCCATTTTGTAGGACCCGTTGGTCCTGTTTTGTGTAAGTGGGATAAAACATCCTTAGTTGGTACAGGTCATTTTAAAAAATTGCTCACATTAGCCTCCCCCCCCCGCCCCCACAAACACGCATTCCTAGTTCATCCCAAGCAAGGTTGTGAATGCTCACTGCTGTTATCTATTATTGGGTTTTCTAGCTGGAATCAGCAGGCATAGTGGGCAAAACTGCTTCCTCTAAAGAGAAAAAGATGAGGTTAGTAGAGGGTGGGATTGTTTTACACTTTGACTCGTGAAAGGTCAGGATACATGTATCCTTATTGCATTGTGAATTTTCTTTTAAAAATATTTTGAGTTTATTGATTACCTTTTATTTGTTTTTGTTCCATTTAAACAGTCTTTTAAAACAAAAATTAAAAGATACATGCACATTGTCCTTGCAATGGGGGATTTTTCCAATCACAGGTCATGTCTTTTTGGTATTAATGGAAAGAACCGGATTTGAAGTCAGGATGCCTGGGTCCTTGCTGGGCTCTGCATCCTAGGGCAGGAGACCTATCATTTCTAAGCCTGTGCTCTCTGCTCTTTTAAAACAAGCGCAGACAGGGTTGCACCCTTTCTTATGCTGTAATTTTCCAAGGACATTATGGAGATACAAGTGGTTTGTAAAATAAGTACCGGACAACTGTAAGGCATTATTAAGTACTATTGGAAGGTTTAATATTTTCTAATGTGTAGGATGCAAATTTAGATTTGATATAATCTTATCATGGTCTATCAAAGTTATGTTGGATGAAACATGGACTTCCTTTGTGAAACTCTTCAATATTAATTTGTGTGTGTGTGTGTGTGAGAGAGAGAGAGAGAGAGAGAGAGATCGATCCCTGGAAGACTATAACCATATTTTTTGTCACATTTTTGGTGATGTGGATGGAAGATTTGGATATTACAATCCACACATTTATAAAGCCTGAAAACCAATGTCTAGGAATCTGTATTGAATTAATTGCTGTTCTGGATTTGATGATGACACCTTGGAAACAGTGTTAACTTGAACATTTTGGTTGTACAGGAATTAATTTTTTCCATCCTTGTCCCATCTCTGGTGAAGGGAACCAAGGGGAACCCACGCGTTAGTCCTGAGAAGTAGGCGCCAGGATATTAAGGAAGCGAGAGTCACTGTGGTCACAGCTGGGCTGGCAGTTAAAGCCGGAGGCCTGAGGAGAGAGCGTAGCTCAGGGCGCAGAGTGAGGCCGGGGGAGGCCGGCTGTGTCTCCTCCCCGAAATTTAAATACTCTGAGGCCCTGAGATTTTTAAAATTAAGGATGGCGAGGGCTCCCTACTGCTCTCTCATCATACTGTTGTGAAGATTAAATGAGATATGGTGTCAAGACCCAAGAAGGGACCTGGCATATATTAAACATGGGCATTTTGTATGTGTGTTTCTGTTCAGAGCTTTGGGGCAAATTCACTGGTCAAAAAGAAGGAACAGGTTGGCCCATTTCCAATCAAAGGGTATCAGAATAAACAGATAACCAAGTAAAACAGAAAACCTTCCACAGCTACCTGCCCATGGTGTAATAATCTGTAGTAGCTTCTCTGGGGTTCCTGAATTTTCTTAGAAATTCCTTTGGAGGGAGAAAGATTTTGACATTATTGGTTAAAGTGATTTTCAATTGATAATCTGTATATTGAAATTATGGAGCTCTTTCAATTTTCGGTTGCTATCCCTTTTCTTTTCTTTCTTTTTTCTTTTTCTTTTTGTCTTGCTGTATTAACATTTGGAAAAGCTGTGTCCTCCAAGAACTAGTTTCAAAGAACCATCAATGTTTGCCAAATGGTGGTCTTGGAACAATGTTTCATTGTTTGCTTCATCATAGCCCTTAGGTACTCCTTCGGTTTACCATTGTTATGAGGAAAGCCTCCTGTACCCACTGAGATTCCTGGTCAAGTCTGCAGATTAACTGATAAGAGACAGTTTAACAGGAGAAAAGACAAGGTTTATTTAAGCTCTCACCTGAGTAGCTTGTTGAATAGCCAGAGGTTAAGTTTCTGTACCAACTGAACAACAACAAAAAAGGCAGTAGGGCTTCCATGAGAAAGTATGGAAGGTCCCATCCCACTTTTTGATGTTAACACTGGCTGAAATTGTGCCCTTCCCAGGGCTAGTGGTCATTTTACCCAGTCCGGAAATTCCTGGTGGGGACCTTCAATAGCAGCTGTATTTATGGGAGGCTCTACTTAAGTTTCGATAATGTTTCTTGTTGCTGGCGACCATATGCTTTCGGTTTGAAGTGGGTTTTGTACCACCGTGGTGGGCTGTTACGCCCTCCACCACTGCTCGCCTCTAACTCGGTTCTCTCTTATATTGGGTTTGGCGGTTTTCAAATTTTAGTGTTTATCATAATGACCTGGAGAGCTAGATCCGGAAACCCAGGCTTGTGGATATGAGATAGGGCTAGGGGTCTTGGTATTTTAACCAAATTTCCCAGGTGATTCTGTTACCACCAAAGTCACCCGGACTTTTGCTAAACGCATCCTGGGCCCCACCACCAGAGTTTCTGATTGGCAAGTTTGGCAAGTGACCTGAGAATCTGCATTTTTAACAAGTTCCCAGATGCTGCTGCTGCTGCTCAGGGGAAGGACCACACTTTGAAAACCACGGGTCAATGCACAGAAACCACCTGGAAGGGACGCTTTTCTTAGGTGCATTGTCTTGGCCACTCCTGAGGTCCCGATTCGGGATCCGGCAGGTGCTGTGGAGGAGAGCGACTCCGGGTTCGAGGCAGGGTCTCTGCCTCGCCGCCCGGCCCGTGGGCACCACTCCGTTGGCAATTGCTAAACCGTCAGGGTACTTATGACTCTTTACCAGTGACACTTTGTCTTGATTTTGATTTGGGGAGTCCATTGATTAAAGCTGGGGATCCAGGGATGCTTTTCATTTGGGATTAAAGTCTTTGGAAAACTTTGGCTGAATTAAAAGGACTGACTCCTGTGAAAGGAAGACTCTCATTCTTTGGAAGCTCAGAGGGTGGATGGTGACGGGGTGGTGCTCCCGGGGGCTCAGTCTGCAGCTCCCGCAGCAGCTCCCTGTTCTGAGTTAATTTAAATGGACACACGCAGCCTTCTGAAAGCTTAGGCCAGTGACAGGCAATGCTGATGAGAATGGACGTGTGACAGGCAAGTGCCGGACCCCTGTGCGTTTGGCATGACCTCCAGGAACCCCCCTCCCTGTCCCTCGCTGCCTTCCCCTTAGGGAGATGAGCCAGGGTCCCAGGGTCCCAGGGTCCCGCGTGGGCTGGGGAGTCTCTGAAGCGCTTCCCTTTGATTCCCTTCCCTGCCGGTTGCTGGAGCCTTCCCTTGCTTCCGAAGGCAGCCTCAGCTCTGGCAGCAGGGACCATAATGGCCCTCAGGGACTGTCAGGCTTTGGGGCTGGCTCCTGATGTCGCTTGCAGCGTATCAGAGCCCGGAGCTGGGGTCCTTCGGCCCTTCAGGCCTGGCCAGTCTGCCCTGAGGGAGGCAGCAGCCTTTTAAAACATTGTCGTCCTCCTGAGCCTTGGAAAGGGCATGGGCCAGCAGAGCGAGGCATGGGGTGGGTGCTTCAGGCTGGCACAGCCTGTGGCGGTTCTCTGGACGTCTGTGCACTCACCCAGGCCAGTAGCTGCCCCTCAGTCTCCCCCGGGTCACTCCCAACACAGCCCACCTCGGGTGACACCACCTTCTTCCCTAGGGACCAGCCCCTGCCCAACGCGGGGAGCGCTGTTCTGCGGGGATTTCCACCCACCACGTGGCTTTGCCAGCAAGAGTTTTGCTTTTCCACTCGTCACTTTTTCCGAGCCATGCGAACTGTGGGCTCCCCAGGGAGAAGGAAAGGAGGCGCGGGCTCCGGGCCCTGCCCCCCTCCAGCCTCCAGCCTTTTGCTTTGCTCTCCTCGGTGCGGGTGCCGGTAGGGTCAGGGGGAGGGGGTCAGCGTGCCACGTGGCCTCTGCCTGCGCCCCGCATGGCTTCTCAAGCAGCTCTGTAAGGCATTGACCCCCAACACAAGGTGAGTCCTCTTTCCCCTTGGAGAAGATGCCTCAAAAAATTAATTTTTAATGGCCTACTTGAGCATACAACGTTTGAAGGGACTAGAAAAAAGCCACATGTGTACTTTTAATATTTATTTTGTCATTTGTGTTACACCTATTTACGAAGCACAA